CAGAACAAGCTGGATAAAGTTGGTTAAATGAACCTAATTCAATTTAAAAAAAATGTTTCATGTTTTTTTATTTTAAACTTTCAGATTGCATGTGTTAAAGCCCAATTGCATTCACAGAAAAATAAATGCTATCTGATAGATATACTAACAACCTTCATGTTCATGCCTCTATGTTTCTATTATCACAGTTGTACTGGGTTTCTAAATACAGCTGTGAAGTCAAAAGCTATGTAAAATTCTATGAGAGGCTGCTGCAACCGGACAGGGCTGGATGGTGCACTAAATAGTACTTACATTTAGTACAGAATGCACTCATGGATAAATGCCCAGAACTCAGACTGCTTAAGTTTGTCAGGCTGATGGTAGTGGGTTGTGGGGAGGTACAGCGTAGTAGGTGTCAAGGTCCTACCTTTTCTCTGAGGTAGGTTACTCCATGTGCTGGTGTCCATCTTGGATTCTGCTGTGCATGATGGGCATCCTTTTATGCCTTCAGGTCTCTGTGGTCCATCCCCCAGGGGTGTGGCTGATGACATATAAGCCTGTGGCCCGCACAGCTCTTTGCACTTGTGTCTTGTGTCTTTGTGTTGCTATTACTCTGTTCTGACTCTCGTGACTCTCCTGGTATCTGATTCGGCTTGTGACTTGACTATTCTTTGTATTCTCCCTTGATCTGACCCTCTGTTGCTGAACCCGGCTCGTGACCTGTGATTCTCGTTTGCTGTCCTGTACTGTTTTGTCCTGTTGTTGTTGACCCGGCTTGTCTGACTACTCTTTTGTCTCTTCCACCAGCTACACGCCATTGGCGGCGGCCATTACCGCAGCTGAGGTGTCTCGGGGGCCGCGACCTGGTTCCTGGCTGCGTCAAGTCCATCCCCACCATCAGGGGCCCTGGTGAAGGGCAGCCTGGGACTTAGACTCCGCGCCCTGAGGGACTTCGGTCTGTGGGTAGTGGTTTGTCGTCAGCCAGTGTGTTACATTGTTAGGCCTGCCTGTCCGTTCCTTGGCCCCTGCCCTGACAGCAGGTAGTAAACACACAGAGTCTGGTTGCAGCAAAACTTGAAACTTGTATTGAACAGAATGCCAACATTATGGAAACTCTAGCGGGAGAACCAGGGGCGGACTGACAACTCATGGGGCCCCCGGGCAATAGGGGATCATGGGGCCCCTTTGTCCTTGCCCAAACTCAAAAAAGCATATGAAAAAGGTACCAGGGGCATCTCATGGGGCCCCCTACTGACCCCGGGCCCTCGGGCAGTGCCCAAGTTTCCAAATGGTCAGTCCGCCCCTGGGGAGAACACTGCTAGGGAACTAACAGTTCAATGTAGTCAGAATTGTAGGCGGAGAGGTGCCAACAGCATCTGCTTCAGACGGTAAAGAGCAGCCTGACTGGTCCGGTCCCAAGGGGGAAGCTCCTTTGCAGGATAATGAGTCCCTAATCTTTCCCTCCTCACCTTTCCCTACTGCTAGTTACTTTCCCTAACAAGTGGGGTCTTTCTCCCTACATTAACCACGAGCCAGAAGCATGCCAAAACCCAAGGGCAGGGACTTAAATAGACCCTGCTGCCGCAAGATGGCAATATAGATTCACATGGGTGCAGTGTAGCCTACCAAAACGCTGCTCCATTGAATCAGGAAACCATAGAGAAACATTGTTTCTCTTGGACATCCTCTCCAGGCTGAGGTGCTACTCGGTAAGAGCGAAACCTGCAGTGGAGAATCAAACCTGTGGTGGAAAACAAATTGCACCTGCATACAGGGTATACATGTACCTATCACCCGTACCTAAATGCCAGAGCTTTATGCTGTGGTAAACTCCCAGTTGTTATGAGGTCTAAAGGGTAATTTCACCTGGCACTAAAAAAGAAGTTGGCAGCTACAAGTACTGTAGCTGCTGTCTTTTATAAAGCACATGTCTGCCAGCCTATGAAGTCCAGTGTTGTCTTACTAATATCCAAAGTCTTCTCAACTTTTTTTCCCTGCACCACCATCTTGGATTCTGGAGCCACCTATCATCTTTTTAACACAGTTTAGTCAGCTAAGTGGTTAGCACTTCTGCCTGGTAGCACTACTATTGTTGGTTCAAATCCCAACCATGGAACTACCTGCCTGGAGTTTTCCTGTTCTCCCTGTGTGGGTTTCCTCTGGATATTCCAGTCTCCTTCCACACTCCAATCACCTTCTGGTAGGTTAATTGGCTCCTGTTCTCTAGTATATGTCTGTACGATTGTAAGTTAGGGACCTTAGATTGTAAGCTTCTTGTGAATGTACAATATGTAAAGTGCTGTGTGAATTGCTGGTGCTATATAAATATCTGTAATAAATAAACTGTCATTTCCTGACCACTTAGCTGGCTGCTGATGTGCATTAGGACTGTAGGAAGACTGTTCAGAAGCCTACTGGGATATGGCAGGCTGAGGACTATGTCATCTGTGTGTGGGCAGGGCCCCCCCCCCTGTGCCTGTCTTCACATGCCCGGGACCAGGCAAAGACTGCAATCATGTGAAAAGTCTAACATTAAGGTAGTTCCCCAGCTCAGAGATGAGCCTTCACTGTGTATAGCAAAAATACAGAATTCCTCTGAGATGTTGTGTCCCAAGTTACTACACACTGATGTTACATTCAGAGGGATGTGCTGAGCCTGTACCTAGTCCAGTGTACCTCTGTTACCTAACTCCCAGTAACAAAATGGGGTCCTGCTGAGAACATAGCACGGACCTCATGTGTGCTCCATATTAACCCTTCACTTTTCCTTGAGACCAGGTCATGGACCACCTTAATGCTGGCCTGCTCTTGGTTGCTATGGGAGACAAGCCGCTCGCTACCGGAGGACATTACCACCTTTCCTAATGACTGGTTGATCTGCATCTTGAAATTGTACTTGGTTACCCTTAGCAATGACATTACCCTTCCTTGACTTGTTGACATACCCCTTCTCGCTGTAGTATAACCTCATGTAGAGTGACTTCATACCCCATATGTGCTTTACAGACCTTGGTTCTTTTGGATATGCCAGAACCATCATGCAGTCACTAAAGTCCAGGATCAATTTAAGTTAATGTAACTTTACTGAAGAACTTCAACATTACAGTTCAAAGTGAGCAAGTCCATTCCTAATCTGAACTACAGTGAGTGGCAGCCCAGGCATACCTCTATAAGGTGATAGTCCATAAAGGTAAAGTCCATTTCTGGTGATCCTCTGGAACTCTTGGTATCTGCAGCAGACTGCAAAAAGCAGCAGTCCCTCCTCCAACTCGAGTCTAGGTTGGAAAGAGCTCCTCAGAACTCGGCATTCCCCCTTTTTATATCACAGGTGGGACAGCTGAGACCCAAAAGCCCAAGAACCAAGAATGGATAGCTTAATCTCTTCCTCCACCAGCCTGGGCAAGCTGTTAACTTACTAAGCAATGTCCCACCTGTTTACCTGTGCCTAGGTGTAACTGGCTAAAGGGAGGATGAGAATGATGCAAAATGTTATTTTTGGATGAAGGTCCTGTTGGGTAGATGCAGTGTGGTGCAGCGGGCAGAGACCACAGAGAGTCCAGATTTTCCAAAAACAATGTATTGCAGAACTAGTAAAAACAATACATCCAGGCCTGGTGGGGTGGCTCATCTGTGAAGGAGAACAACAAAAGAGAAGCGCACCAACCTTGCGCATTACCTCAGTAACCAAAAATTTATTGAATAAAAGAATGGTACTCACAAACAGCGAATAAAAACAAGCATGTAAGTCCTCAAAGGGACTTTAGAGGCAAGATGCCAATGCGAATCCCATCATGGAGGAAGCCACTCAGTACAGCTGACGCATTTCGAAGGACATGCCTTCTTCCTAAGAGCTGCTCTGAGGAAGAAGGCATGTCCTTCGAAACGCGTCAGCTGTACTGAGTGGCTTCCTCCATGATGGGATTCGCATTGGCATCTTGCCTCTAAAGTCCCTTTGAGGACTTACATGCTTGTTTTTATTCGCTGTTTGTGAGTACCATTCTTTTATTCAATAAATTTTTGGTTACTGAGGTAATGCGCAAGGTTGGTGCGTTTCTCTTTTGTTGTTCTCCTTCACAGTTTTGTTTGGGCTTCCCCAGCCTTGATGTGGAGCTGCACGACCTTGTTTATTCCGGTGGTTCCTTTCTTTTTGGAGTTTGATTCCATCTACTCACCACCGGCCTGGGTCCCGGAGCGCAGGAGATATTACATTTGGTCCACTGTCTGGGGGTGGCTCATCTACCAGGGCCCTTACAGCAGTTCAATGAGATAGGGGAATGCAGATTCCAAGTTGCAGCATCTGTCACAAGAAGCGGAGTGCGGCTTGGCCTGTCGAACTCCATGGGGAGCTTTCTGAGAAGGTAGATCTAGTCCCTACTCCACCGGAACCTCTCCCTGCTGCTAATGCTGTCCCTGCCAGACAGGTGACCTGTCCCTACACTTGCCACTAGCATAAAGTGAGCCATTTGCATAAAGAATCTAAAATAGACTCTGTCTGATCCAAGATGGCTTTGACTAAGGCTTTTTGCTCAAATGTGTAAGCCATTTTTATCTGTACACTTTACTCGAGCACTAACAGTCTGCTTCTGTGGGAAATAGCACAATTTTTTTTTTATGACCCAAGATGGCTGCCAGGGTCATATGGGACAAGAGCATCCAACCACATCATTGCCCTATGTGAGCAAAGTAGTAATAAAAAAAAAAAACAATTTCCCTCCACTTCTTCTCCCCACTGTCTTGCCGCTATGGTCCAGAGCCACCTGCAGTGGAGAAAATAGAATGCACCTGCTGGGAGTCACTTTGGGGGGGGGGCTCATGGAACCTAGCTTACTTTGCAGATGTTGGGAGACCCTTGTCTCAGCTCCCCATATCCCTCTTATGTGCAAGTCACCCTGTGTCTCTTAGGGGCACATGGTAACTAATGGATGCTGAGAATGTGGTTGGAATTACTTCAGATGGGACAGTAATATTTGCCCAAGGGCCCGGGGTCAGTAGGGGGCCCCATGAAATGCCCCTGTTACCTTTCTATAGGCTTTTTTGGGTGTGCTTTTGAGTGTGGGCAAGGACACAGGGGCCCCATGATCCCCTATTGTCTTGGGGCCCCATGAGGTGTCAGTCCGCCCCTGGTTGATTCTGAACTAGACATGTTAATTGAAAGAGCTGATCACGCTGGCCTCTCCTCTACACCAATGTAGGACCCGGGCCGTCTGCTCTGTAGTGAGATCCTAATTCATCAAACCATTGTATCGGTGTGAATTCCCATTCACCTTTTGTTTCGATCACCCAGCTAGCTAACCTAATTAACTTACTGTTTAGAGTGTTAAGTCTATTTCTGTATATAGCTGCGTTTGCATATGATCATGTAATCAGTATCAGTGTGTATTGTATAAAAAGCCCGTTTGAGTTAAAATAAAGAGTTCCGTGTTCAGACAGATTGGTATTGTCTAGTCTTGTATGGTCGGCTGTGGTGTCTGTTGTCAGTGTTCGGACAGGGAAGCGGTATTCTAACGGAAGTACTCAAGCACAATCTGGGTTGGTTCCGTTACACCTGCCTATATTCCGCTTTAAAAAGGGGAAGTGGACTTTGCAGTCCATTTATGGATTCTCCCTGTTTCTGCACTCTGACCATGCCCTATATTGGGAATGCAGTCTCTGAGCAATTCTTGTAGTATCTTTGTGACGTAGCAGTGCAAAAAAATAGTGGCATACCTGAAGCTTGATGGCTTTTAGATGAGGCTGTATAGAAAGAAACAATAATAGTGTGCTTATAGAACCACCCAATGCAGGCAAAAAATGAAACTATTTGCTGCAAATTAATTTCTGTAAGGGTTAAATTATTTAATTTCCTCTGACATCGGCACCTTCCTTATCAGCTCATAGGAGGACTAGTACAAGAGGTTTCCACAAAATGATGGGTTTTTAAAATAAAATTTGCAGCTATGTATGCATACCATGAGAGGTAGCCTCCTGCACAATTCCTATCCGAGCACCCCTAACAGTTTAGACATGTCTGCAAGAGCTATGGAAGGGCACAAGTGTTAGGGTACTTAGGAGGGCTGGTTTTAGATAAGCAGAAGTACAGCTGGTAGGTCATCTAGGATAAGTCAGGTCACGCCAAGGTCATTGACACCTGAGCAGGAAGACACCAAGTAATAGGCAGAGTCAAGGTCAGGACCAAACCTAGATTGGCAACATACAGGTTACAAGGTACTAAGTCAATACGCAAAATCTTGGTCATAATTCCAGATGGAGCTTGGTAACAGAGATGGGCAGCAATCAAAAGGAGACAAGGATAATCCAAAAGCAGGTCTAATGAAAGCGGGGTCAATAACAGGATCAAGCACAAGTTTCAGGATCAGAAATTGCAGGAATACAGACTGAAAGACCATTCAGCAATGATCCTATGCAGAAGTCATGTTTAAATAGCCCCGCTAGGGGCCAGAAACTGTGGTGGACATGCCTATACAGTATGTTCACTTGCATGCCATGATATGCACAATATATTCCTCAGAGTGGCTCTGAGGAAGAGGCAAGTCCTCGAAACGCGGCAGCCTTTTGGATGTCTACACTCCCTATTACGGACTGTTACTCAGCGCGGTGTTGACCCAGCTGTTCTTTATGATGTGCCTTGACTATATTGTCGTTTGTGAGTACAACACCTACTTTATTTTTTATTAAACATTTTTTATGGTAATGCACTAGGCCTGTGCGCCCTCTGTTTTTTCTTTCCTCATTCAGTATATTTGGATTTCCCCGGTCCATTTGAGGGCAGCAAGGTGTGCATGTTCCAGGACATTCTTAATGTGGTTGTAGCCTGCATCGAGTCCATCCCCAAGCGCAGGAGCATTTGTATTTGCAGGTTGCTATTGCTGTCTGTGTTCCCGTTAGGGAGATTCACCCTCTCTACTTGTCCCGATGACCGTTATCACTGTAAGTGAAATCAAATTCCCATATTTTGAGTGGTCACCAGAACAGAGGAAATCTTCCAATGGGGCACTTGTTCTGGTGACCTTGGTGACAACCAGGGATTTTCCTCACTTTGGAGAGATTTTTTTCTAATTTTCTGTGATGGCTGTTAGGCAGGAAGTGAAGAAAAATATCCCCCGATGGGTTAAGGATGGCAAGCAAACCTGGTGGGAGGCAGTGCTGCTTTTAAACACCATCATCTGGGTTGTCTGTTCTGTCAATAACGTGTCTGGCCAGAAGGTTGTTGATTACAAAGCTGCAATTGAGAATGGCAACAAGGAAATATTGGAGCACTTTGTTTGCAGAATCCTGACTTTGGAATCCAAATACCCAACTGGGAGGAGGAAGACCTTTTGCTGCATCCTTAAAGGAGGGACCCACCTACTGTGACCAGACCAGCTTTGTTCCTTCTAGATTGAGGATCCATGGGCTTTTGATATATACTGCTTATATATATCTTCTTTCTGGTGAGTGCGTATTTCTGCTACTTCCTCACGGATCACCAGCATTGAATTTCCACTTGTCACCTGACATGTTTCTATGAACTGGACTTGCAATGGACTTATTTCTGATTTTTTATTAATTACTTCAGCGCTGCACTGTTTTTTATGTTATTCTGTATAAGTACTTATCGGTTGCTTAGAGTGCTCAGCTGCTGTTTAGGACCAGCGCTCACTGTTTTTTTCCTTTTAAACCTGACAAGGGTTTTAACTCATCCTTACTGTATCCAACATTAAAAAAAAAAGTTTTGCCTTCAATTCTATTGAAGTTTTTCCAAGCAAAAAGCAACAACAAATCATAGCATGCATGGATATAGGATTAGAGTAATAAAGAGATAAAGAAGTATAAGACTTTTACTAGTGTTTAAGTCTTTCATACTGCATCTCTTGATTTCTGTAAAAGAAAAGACAAACAGGTGCTAAGGTATTACTAGCCCTATTCTGAATTACTATACACTCTATTCCTTGCTTCTGTGTATCAATCAGTTTCCACAGGTTGTTGGTTGATGGGGTATAGGTGGAATGGAGCCATGTTTTTTATGCCACACAGCAATAAAGCCTAAATATATTTGTAATATGTTTTTTTTTAAGCCTACACCACTTGGTATTCCCAGGCAGCCTCACATCCAAGTAGTTACCAGGCCCAAACCTGCTTAGCTTCAAAGGTCAGGCATATTCAGGGTGATGTGGCTATAGACAGCAATGCTGTTTCTTGTTATAATTTTAACATAAAAAGTTTAATGGTTTTAGGTTAGTTTTTCTTTCTCTTCTTTTTTAAAAATAAAAAACATATACCGTATATCTTTCTATAAAAGATTTGTATTACAAATAAACATTTAACCAAGGATGCCTTTATTGAATGACCCAGGACCAGTGACACAAGAACATTATATATTTCATAATTAAAAAACAGAACAAAAGCTGTCTACTTTCAGGCTTCCTCTGTCTAACTGAAACTGACTGAGTTGTCTGAACATAGCAAGCAGGAGGGGGAGGAGTCACTTTTTTTCCCCTGACTATAATATGTGCAGAAAATATATTAAAAACTGGATTATAGCTGATGTTCATAATAAGAAGCACCCACACCCCTTGGGGTAATAGTAGCCAAATGACAGGGTTATGGAATCAAAGCAGAACAAAGAAGTTGGCATGATGTGTTAAATGACAGACAGTAACATGCTTCATTGCACACAAACAAGAGCAAAAATCTTATTGGTTGTGGGTACTTTGTTTATTTGTGGTTTAAATGTTTTATAAAAGTAAATATGATAAAATCCTGATAATTTATATCTCTTAAGTGCTCTGCTTCTAGATATTCATATAAAGAGTAAAATCTATCTATTGTCATCTTTGAAAGTTATGCTAGTATCTAATAGGACTGGTGGTGATGATTGATGATTATGTTGATGATGATGAGGATGATGACGGTAATGATGATATGGATTGTGACAGACCCAACCAGGACAGGGGCTTTTGGAGGGGGCTAGGGGCTAGCCTTCTACCAACTGATTATGGCCAATGGAGGAGACTGGGGTTTTGTCTGCTTCTCCCACTCAGAGTATGGAAAAGAGCTCAGTTCAGCCTCTGATCCTATGGAGAGAGCAGATCATTCTCTAATGATGGACAACAACGTGATGAGTGCTGAGAGCGAGGCTTAGATTAATTCCCTGAATAAAGACAATAAAGCTCCCCTTTTGGAGTGGATGGAAAGCTGTAATATTGATATTTTACAAGTTATTGGTCAGAGGAAATATGGTGGCCCTCCTGCAGACTGGATTACTGAAGCTCCTCCACTTGGGACAGAAAAATGTATCAACAGTCTTCCTCAAGAAGTCGATGAAGGTAAATTAATTCCACTTTTTTAGACTATAGGAACATTGTATGAGTTTTGTCTTATGACTTTTCTAGTGAACAGATTACACAATTGAAAGCCAAACACCTGAAAGACAGCATATGTAATGTACTTTGTGTATTCAGGGTTGTGGCTGCCAGTCTGTTTGGGGTAGGCTTCCTGACTGGTCTGGGTGCCTGGCTGTTGAGTAGCTTATTGTTAGTTAGATCACTGTTTAATTAGGTTACTGTTAGCTGCTAGCCGTTTATTAGATGTACCATTAGATGTACTGATGATATTACTGTTTAACGTTTGCATTGGTTAGGATAATGTGATCAAGCTCTTATCTGATTTTGCATGGCATAAAATCAGTGTGAATTTTCAATAAGGGTCAGTTCCTGTTTGCACCTAAGCTAGTGTCATCTAATTATTGGGTGTAATTCCCAGCTATAGTACCTTGTTACTGTGTTCCAGCAGTGAGGAACTGCTCTCTGGCAGAGGCACCTAGGCAGGAGACAGGCGGTCCATCATATTGATAATATTGATGATGATGATATTGATGATGATGATGATACTGACATTTAGTTGAAGGCAGTATGGGGACAAATTGGGCAAACCATTTTAGGTCTGCACTATACATTAATTTTTAATGGCAAATTAATATTTAAAGTGTATTTCAGTCTTTGCAGATGACACCAAGCTATGCAGTGGAATAATAACATTACAGGATGTCTCCAACATACAAGCCGACCTCCATACACTGTTTAATTGGACAACTATGTGGAAAATAAGGTTTAATGTTGATAAATGTAAAGTTATATACAGTAATTGGGGTCTAAAACACGCATGCATCATACATATTAGGGGGAGTACAATTGGAGGAATCAATGGTGGAGAAAGATCTGGGTGTTCTAGTAGATCATAAGCCTAATATTAGTATGCAATGCCAAGCTGCAATTTCCAAAGAGAGCAAAATCCTTTCTTGTATTAAAAGAGGTGTGGACTGCAGAGAAAGATATATCAGTTTGTCCTTGTTGAAATCATTAATATGACATCATTTGGAATATGCAATTCAGTTTTGGGCATAGTTCACAAATAGGATATTGGGGAACTGGAGAAAATCCAGAGAAGGGCAAGCAAACTGATAAGAAATATAGAGAATGAGGATAGATAGCTATGAGGATAGATTAGCTACACTGAATTTTTTCTCTCTTGAGAAAAGGAGATTAAGGGGGATATGGTAAACATATATAAATACATAAGTGGTCCATATAGTGAACTCGGTGTAGAGTTATTCATTTTAAGGTAATCACAGAGGACAAGGGGGCACTCTTTATGTCTGGAGGAAAAGAAATGTAACCTCCAAATATGGAAAGGTTTCTTCATAGATATACAAAATAAACTGGATACTAATATTTATAGGTAAAGTTGATCCAGGGAATATCTGACTGCCTGTTGGGGGATCAGGAAGGAATTTTTTGTTTCCTTGCTGGAGCAAATTTAGTCATACTTTACTGGGGTTTTTTTGCCTTCCTCTGTACCAACTGTGGGTACAGGATTGTGCATATAGGATATACAGTATCTCACAGCAGTGAGTACACCCCTCACATTTTTTAAATATTTTATTATATCTTTTCATGTGACAACACTGAAGAAATTACACTTTGCTTGAATGTAAAGTAGTGAGTGTACAGCTTTTATAACAGTGTAAATTTGCTGTCACTTCAAAATAACTCAACACAGCCATTAATGACTAAACCGCTGGCAACAAAAGTGAATACACCCCTAAGTGAAAATGTCCAGATTATAAAAGCTGTACACTCACTACTTTACATTGGAGCAAAGTGTCATTTCTTCAGTGTTGTCACACGAAAAGATATAATAAAATATTTACAAAAACGTGAAGGGTGTACTCACTTCTGTGAGATACTGTGTGTGTATATATATATATATATATATATATATATATATATTATATTTATATATATTTTTTTCCTTCTGTTGATTGAACTGGATGGACCTGTGTCTATGTCTCTATGTCACTTTGAAAACCCTTACAATGAACATCTCATATTTGTTTCCTTTTGGTCTATTAAACCTACAGTTGAAAACATTTTGTTACAACTGTTATAAAAAAAAATATTGATTTTGCTAGAAATTCAGCAAGCTTTTAACTTCATTTGCATTCCTCCTAGATTGTAAATTCTAGCGAGCAGGGCCCACTGTTTCCTCTTGTACCAAATTGCATTGTAACTGTAATGTCTGCCTTCATTTTGTAAAGCGCAAACTGTTGGCGCTATATAAATCCTGTATAATAATAATAGTTCTAAGGAAACACACAGATTACACCAGGCATCCAGGTGAAAGGCACAGTTGAATATCACCCCAGCAGAGGCTGCTCTCAAAACTCATTTGAAGAACATGAGAAAATACTACATACTGTATAACAGGGCTGGAGCACATACAGTGCTGGGTAGTTTGTAGTGATAATTCATTTGCCTAGCATCAGCTTTGGGCTCTGATTTATTGTTATGACTATGAATTACCCAGCATTGTTTGCATTCCAGCCCTGGTATATGATCCTTTGCATTTTGCCTGTGCAGCCCTGAAGTATCAAGCAATTTTATCAGTCCTGGCCAGAGGCGGACTGACAACTCATGGGGCTCCCGGGTAATAGGGGATCATGGGGCCCCTGTGTCCTTGCCCAAACTAAAAAAAAGCCTATGAAAAAGGTACCAGGGGCATCTCATGGGGCCCCCTAATGACCTCGGGCAGTGCCCGAGTTTCCAAATGGTCAGTCCGCCCCTGGTCCTGGCCAACTTACTTCTGTGAACACCTCCCTGTTTTGGAGATGAGTAGAGGTTGCTCAAATCAACAGCCTAGGGTTACAATGCTAGCCATGCATAAACTCAGCCATAGACGGTTCAGATCTTGGCTGGTTCAGCAGGGACTGGCCCAGATTCAAACCATGTATGGGCAGGCTGAGCATACCCAAGTTGATCAACTTGGGTACAACCAGCCTGTCGGATTTTACATCCAATTATTGCTAGCAGCTACTATAAACTCCTGGCAGGGATGGCTCCCTCTGCCCTCCTGCCGGGAGAACACAATGGCGGGAGGGTTTCCCCCATCAAAATTGTCACCGTCTATGGGCGGCTTTAGATACAGTGAATGAATGTTGAAACTGTAGGATGGAAAGTGTTCTATTGGAAGTATCATCAGAGGAAAACTAATATTCAAAATAGTTATATTACTGTGCCAAAAAACACCTCTAAAATGGAAAGACACAGTGTAACCCATTCAAATATATAATATTCAGGTACTAGAGAAGGGGAGATCAGGGAATACAATTAATTATCTTTAAAAATAATTTTTAATGAATACCTTTAAAATCCTTTAATGCCAAGCAAGGGGTATTTTGAGTCCCCAATGATATATGTAAAGGTGATAAAAGTAATTGACACAGTGAACATAATAGTTTTTGATATCCACACCTCATTGCTAATGTCTGGCCTCTGTAAAAGTAACCTTTTTACAATGAAAACATTCATTGATTATAATAGTTGCTGTCAAAAACTGAAATAGCTGTACATCCAAAGCAGCTTATGCAACAATAGATGTATAACTAGAGCAGTGTTTCTCAACCTCCTTTCAGTCAAGGCACCCTTTAAAAATGGACGATCTCAAGGCACCCCATTCTGAAATGGAGAGGGGCAGGAGAGAGACAAACTAGGATGCTGTGCAGGCCCCCGATGACCTCCTTATCAAACGATGAGGTATTTGGTTGTTAAGATGCCAGTGCTTAGAAGGTTAAAATGGTGCACAATGAAAACCCGTGGCTTTGTGCAACTAAAAGGCACACTTTATCCACCCAAAGGCTTGTATAAAGGCTTGTATACAATTTTTGGCCAATTTTTAGACATTTTGCCAAAGCACCCCTGGAGAAACCTGAAGGTACCCCAGGGTGCCTGGATACCCTGGTAGAAAAAGGTTGAAGTAGACTATCTCATTAAATCTGAAATGTCAAAGACTGCCATTAATCTGCAAAAAGCTAAGAATCTATCAGAGATGATCCAGTTCTATGGCCGCCATTTTGCATGCCAAATGGTAATATTGATTTTTGGCAGACAGACTCAACTGTACAGTATTTGTACATCCAAATAATTATACAGGTAATGCCAAGTGGAGATCTTCCACACAGCCAGAAAGGACACATACAATTTGTGTGTATTCCATTATATCTCAATGAGCCAAGCAGACTATATCAAAGCTCATATATCCAGGTAATGTTTGTGCTGTCCCAATTGCCACTTTATGCATTGACATACCTCCTTGGACCCGTCTTTCTGGACATTATGGTCATGTGCTGACTTGGCACCATCCACAGGAAGCTTAAAGTGGTTGTGAAGGCCGAAGGTTTTTTTTACCTTCATGCATTCAGGTAAAAAACCTTCAGTGCTCAGCTGCCCCCCTCAGCCCCCTCCTCAAACTCACCTGCCGCGATTCTGCAATGTGTATGAGAGCAGTAGCTCTCCTGGGTCTCTGCTTCCTCATTGGCTGAGACACAGCAGCCATTGGCTCCCACTGCTTTCAATCACAGCCATTTAGGAGGGAGTGGGGGGCACGGCCGAGCAGTACTCTCTGTGTCTCATAGACACACAGAGGCGGCTTGGGATCCAGCACACACAAGTGCCACCAGAGCTAGCAGTAGGGGGGAGGGACCAGGAGTGCCAGCGGGGGACCTAAGAACAAGAGGATCAGGGCTGCACTTTGCAGAACCATTACACAGAGCAGGTAAGTATGACATGTTTGTTATTTACTTTATCACTTTAAAGCGTTACTAAACCCTTGACAGTAAAATCAGTCTGTACATGTAGTAAAGCATGCTTGTTTTACTTATTGTGAAACCTAAGGGATTAATCCTCTGCATTGTGTAAAGAGGTTGTTTGACTTCTCTGATCCTCCCCTTCTTCCAGTGTCCCACTCTTATCTCCTGATAAGACATGCGTGTGAAGACACTCTGTACATGCTCAGTTTGGTGTGTATTGCCAGAGAGGTTTTTTGTGTTCTTGGGAGAGTGCATGTGATCAGCACAGGGCCAATCATCACTGTCCAGACAGAAGTCAGGGGTTCTTCATCCTCTTAGAGCAGAAAGAAAACTCCTCCTTCAAGCTTTAATGTGCTCTGTTGAACACTGATTTAAGTCGCAAGATTTCTCTAACTGCTGATGAGAAAAGGTATTTAGTATTTTGTATTTACTAAAATAATTGCATTTCCATGTATTGTGTATTGTGAGAGACCAGATATCATCACTCAATCATCACTGTCCAGACAGAGGTCAGGGGTTCTTCATCCTCTTAGAGCAGAAAGAACACTCCTCCTACAAGCTGTAACCAGTACTCTGCTGAAGACTGATAGAAGTCACAAGACTGCTCTAACTGCTGATGAGAAAAGGTATTGAGTAGTTTATATTCACTAAAATGATTGTGTTATATTTTCTGTGTATTGTGGGAGACCAGATATAGTGAATGCAGGATCCTGGGTTTAGTAACACTTTAACTCTTAATATAAGACACAGAAGTTGAATCCAATGCAATTTTACTTCAGCTAATTATACTACAGAGGATGCCTTCCCAGTCTTTTGAAGTATAAAAAGGCAATCACTTTCTTAAGTCTTGTCTCTGTGTAGTACTAACGCTGAAGAAGCGGAAATGAAACAAAGGAAAAGATTCTAGCTAGGACTGAACTAACTAGAAGTAAACAGGAGGGAGGACACAGGGATACACAAAACCACATAAGTAAACAAGCTGTAGTGGCTTTATACCACCACTAGGTGCCAGCATACTAAAAAAAAAAATAATAGCCTAATGCAATACAATATAACACATATAAAAAAATACAGGAATGTTGAGCAGAATCAACCAGTAAAGTAAATGCTGAAATATTTAAAGGGATATTGCATACAACCCGTGTTGATTTTTTTTTGCTACAGGATTTTTCAGTAAAAGTGAAATTTTACAATAATTCATTGTGTTTCCATATCTCACCTAGTTCATGAATATTAAAGAGGAAAAAAGCCTAGAAAACAAAGGTACTGCAGCCACCACATCCAAGGATTGGTAAACTGCCATATATTACATTTTCGTTCTTAGCCTTAGATATACATTAAGGCAACCTAAGGCTGTCTAGTGTGTATTGAACTACATATCTCAGCTCCTCCAAGCTGCAAAGCCATGCAATACCTATATGTTGCCCAGTACATAAAATCAACACTTAAATACTTTTTTAATCTTTTTTGATTTCCAATTCACATCATGCTCACCAACAGAGACCTCATAAATGAGCTATTATTTTAGACTCTTAATGGGATGAAGGATAATCCCTCTATTGATCAATGAGCCAATCCGCTCACATTTCTAAATAAGGCTGGGAATTCATTCCCTGCTGGATATGAGAAGCCAGGGTTTGGGGTATCCTTGTGTACATAGAGATGAAGAAATCAATGGGATAGTCACTCCGATTAATACACTTTGGCTAACGTATGAATAGGAATAGAGTGATGAGATGAGCCGTTATTTACGGACAGACTTTATTACTTCAACCGGTTATGGATGACAGACGGGTCTTTGGAAGATATGATAGACAGTCCCTATGCATTATTTTTATGAGAGAACACATATTAAAAGAGGCTACAGTATTCTGAATGTCACTCAATATTTGTCATGACACCATATTTTGGCTAGAATCAAATGCTCCCTGAAAGGGAATGACAATTTTACATTTTATTTATTGACTTATTAGGGTCAGACAAATATTACAGTTTTACTGTAAATATTTTACATGAATATTCTGTTTTTTTATCTTCAGGTGGAGCTTCTTTTCACATGTTTGTAAGGCTGTCCTTAGATGGCTTGCTGAAAATATCCTCTGGTTTACAGAATTCAGTAGCTCAAGCTTAAAGTACATAGACACACATGGAAATGAGTCAAAACAGTGACTCTTCCCTGCTTGATTTTTTTCAGTTGACTTCATCGGTAGTTTCAATTAGAGACAGAGAGGCAAACTGCGTGGCTCTGAGGAAGAGGCAAGTCCTCGAAATGCTTCAGCCTATTGGATGTCTACATTCCCTATTGCAGACTGTTACTCAGCGCGGTGTTGACCCAGCTGTTCTTTATGATGTGTTTTGACTATATTGTCGTTTGTGAGTACAACACCCACTTTATTTGTTATTAAACATTTTTTATGGTAATGCACTAGGCCTGTGCGCCCTCTGTTTTTTCTTTCCTCATTCAGTATATTTGGATCCCTCCGGTCTATTTGAGGGCAGCAAGGTGTGCATGTTCCGGGACATTCTTAATGTGGTTGTAGCCTGCATCGAGTCCATCCCCAAGCGCAGGAGCATTTGTGTTTGCAGGCAAACTGCTTGCTCTGGCCATTTTGGTGCCAATGTATCGGTATTTAAGCACAGCAGGCTTAATTCATATCAGGACTATACAGGGGGAATCAGGGTGAGACATAACCCCTCCCCATATCTGGGAAATGACTTCAGCTTATTGTACTCTTACCTTGGAGTACATATTGGCCAGTTATCAACACCAACTGTGGTATGTACCTGGATGGATCTTGGGCATGTATACTTATAGATACTTTTGAACTATGTTGAACTATGCTTTTCCTACTTAAGCTGATTTTGATATGGAGATTTCGAGAACATGCACTGTTGGTAAAAAGAAAAATCCCCCCTTCCCTTTTTTAAGGGTTTTGATTAATGACCAATATGGTGAGAAAGGGTGTAGTTGGGACCATTGAAGGTCATCATTGACCACTGTATTCTGTAATTCTCTAGAATGACCTTTCTGCTTTCTATAAGGGGATTTACATCTCCTCTTGACTGATGGTAATTCCTCATTACTTATTGGAGGCCCTCTGTCCATCA